CCCCAAAACCCCAAAACCCCAAAACCCCAAAACCCCAAAACCCCAAAACCCCTTTTTAACTAGAAATCTGGAAAATTAATTATATTCTGAGACTAATGGCAACAGACCGACTAGAGGCAAATCAGTCGATAAGTTTCCATAACAAGACTTTGGAAGGACCAAGTCTCCTGAAATTTGATCAAAATAGCTCTAGAAAGAGAATCAAGGGAGGAGTCAGTGGTGCTGAATTTGAAAAATTGTATGGTCACATTAGTGTTACCAAACAGCCCAGCTTTATGGAAAGAAAGGATAGTTACAGAGGGATTGGGTGGGGAGTCCTAAACTCTAAGCTTACCACTCTTCCAGCTATCTCTGACAATCTTAAGCGCTTTTTAAAGCATAGGAAATCTGAGGAGGAAAGTGTGACTCAAAATTATCTGAATTCGCCTATCAAATTAGAGAATAGAGGCATAGCTCCACAAGAGTCCCATCAGAGCATGTCAAGAAAACCTTCTCTTAACAATCGTGATTTTGTGAAACAGATTGACAAAGAATACAAATCAACAGGTGCAAGTGGGTTCTTGAGGTTGAATGGATCTTTTTCTAACCATGTTGACAAGAAGTTACAGCTGAAGCCGGATCTATACCATTCTCTCAACATGATGAGCCAGAAGAAGGCTATCTTCAGAAAATTTAACAACTCAGTCAATGCTTTGTCAAAGAATGCTGGAGACACAAAAAGCAGTCATTTCACAAAAACTAATAGTGACAATATGGCCTTAGGTGGCTCCTCAAAAGTAATGATGATGTACAACAGGTGTGAGAAGCATGAAAATTGGAAGAAATTCCAAATCAAGAGATCCCAACACAACTTGAGTCTGAGGCATAGTCAGGTTACTAGCACTCTCCCAGCTCTCAAATTTCAGAAGGAGAAGCTATTTAAGCCGAAAAAGACTTTCTCAAGGCGGAAGTCATAGGTAAATAAGCGCTAAACTTAGAGAAGCTTCTTAGAAGTCAACTTAAGTCAGTTTCTAAGATTGGTAGTCAATTTTATTTGACAAAAAAGGGGTTTTGGGGTTTTGGGGTTTTGGGGTTTTGGGG